TGGGCTGAATTGCACAAAACGCATGATCGCACCGGCTAGTCTGGTGCGCGTTGCCATTTATTTAACATTAACACAGCATTTGATTGTAAAAGCTACACTATTTGGTTCCACTGTGCAGCCATTTATGTTGTGTGGAAGTGAAAAATGGATTGCCATGCTTGCTGATGAGGAAAAAAAATTAATAACGACTTAACGAGCCGAGGAATGGTGCATGGTGGGTGTCAGTGAATTACGGCACATCACAAGCGAAGTACTGCGCTTCTGATTTGAAGTAAACGGTATTATCAACATTAGGGAAGAGTTGGGCTGGCCGTGTGGTAAGAATGAAAGACAGCAGGTGGACGAGGCGAATTTTCTTATGGTCTATTTGCACTGTTAAAAGAACATCGGGAAGTTACTACTGTGCTAAAATGACCGATTCGGACAATTTGCATGAAATTAGGTGGGTGAGAGCGGCCCGGGAGAGAGAGAGGGGGAGGGAAAAAAGAATGGAGAAGTGATCAGCTGCAAAACTGGTACGATAAAATGGCAGCTAATCGAAGACGCAGCGGCGTTTGCAGGGAAAGCGCTGAAATCTCGGGACTAAAGTTGAAAATCCGTAAAGAAGGATTATTCAGCGGCATGCTTCTTTTCTTTGCCTGAGGTATGGAGGAAGGTGGGGTGCGTATTAGACGTTTGCAAAAAAGAAATCGGAAAATCGAGTTGTCGCTGTAAAATTAAGATAAAGGATGCAGAGTTTTCCCAAAAGAACACTACCTTTAGCGAGATGGGTATTGAATTCGGGTGCGAAATTCTGAATTGTTCTGAAGCGAATATATGAGTTTTTAAATGCGAATATTTAGTCTGAATCCCTCAAACAGTACCACATTCAAGCATAATGAAACACATAGTTATTGAGTTGAAATATTCGCAAATTAGTCCACTACGGATGTGCCGCCAGGCGCAAAACATTTACGTCCTCTTCTTCCTCACGTATTTTAGGGTTTAAATTCAGCTTTCATCTACGCTTGCGCCTAGCGTACGAACACTTCAAAGATTGACAGGAAGCATGTGGAGACAGGTCAAGTAAGAAAGCTGAAATGTAACCATAATGTTTCGTGGCTGAACTGTAGGGGGTTGTACTTTACACGAATATTTCCTTTCCAAATGTAGGCCTGAAAGCGCAGTATGAGCCTTAAAGCTCGTTCCCCGGTGTGCAAACACGTCGAAATTCCACTTGTAAAATTGCCAGCATCCTTCTCTTGCTGTAATTTCACACGCTGGAAAACCAGAATTTCATTGAATCCCGTAGTGCAACTGCGTCGACTCAGCCAATGGCTCTCATTCCCGAACGTGAAAGGAAAGACCAATAAGAACATTTCAGACATAATTGCACGTATCATTCTATGAAGCAGTGAACGCTACTGTTGTTTGCGACTTTATTTGCAAGAAAACATATAAAAACTCATGATCACTTCAGCAACCTTAGTGCAGACAACAAAAGTTCATTGTTAGTCTTTTCTGCACAACCTGATTGATTTTAAAATCTTTTTGCATTGCCTTTGGGAACAGTTCAGGTGAATTTCATCGAAAAGTTATGTCAAAAGATTACTAGTTCAGGCTGCACGATTTTCTTGGGACCTGTCTGCTCGGTACTGCGTTTGTGAGGTGGCTGTCTTAGCCTTGATTAGTGCCTGGGGATTTTGCATCCTGTTGAAAAAAATTGGACACTCGAATAATAATTGTCTGTTGTTGCACGTTTGAAAAGATTATTAGTGCGATTGCTTTTCAGTGTGTGTCTCATTTTGCTACTGCTGGTGATAGTCATGTTTGGTCTACGGACGATTTACTACCAGCATTTATGTACGTCACCGTACGTGCTCAGGTGCAACATCTTGGCGCTGAAATTCGTCTGATTGAGGATTTCACGCCGCAGCTGCGAGGGAGCGGACAAATCGAATTAATGTTTACGACGCTCAGAGCCAGCTACTTTCAGATTTGCTGTGATAAAAATCTACCGTGAATGATTATTGTTGTAAAATGTTTGATGTGATTTTATCAAGTCGAAACCTCCTCTCTGAGAGTCTGAGGCACTCAGAAACGCGGGCCAATAGCGACTACCTGCTGACAAGGCTGTTGAAAGCTTCCTCTTCCGAAGGTTTCTGAGAAAAAAAACTGATGTTGGGTTTGACTTTTCTGGCACGTATCAGTACTGTGTTTTCAATGAAACAAATAAAGAGTCATGAAGGGTTAGTTGTCCCCAAATATTACTTTTGTTATTACGATTATTGTTATTATTCCAAAAAAATAAATGGCCAACGCACGGGCTGCCCGTGCGAAGATGCGTTTTTTGCAGAGTTCCTCGCAGTTTCTGTCGCTACCGGCATCGGTCTTTTCGTCAGATGCTTCTATCTGAAAAAATTTCAGACTGGCCGCCAGGACTGTCAGGAAACATCCCCTCAAAATTCCAGTCTTCTAGCTCCTCACGTTCTCGAGTAAGTGACTTACCCGGAACGAACTTTTCACGGGCCTGCACGTAGGTACCACGCTTACCCGCGGGCAGGGTTTGAACTCGTTAATACCCACTTAGACAGGGAACACCCCTGGACCACGCTTACCCGCGGGCAGGGTTTGAACTCGTTAATACCCACTTAGACAGGGAACACCCCCTAAAATTTCAGCTTTCTAGCATCTCAGAACCCCGAGCTATACATTTACGCGGGGAAATTTTGGGGTGCCCGTGCGCGGGTACCACGCTTACCCGGGGGCTAGATTTGAACTCATTAGCATCTGCTTGGACGGGGAACATCCCCGTAAAATTCCAGCTTTCTAGCATCTCAGAACCCCGAGTTATGAATTTACGCGGGAAAAATTTTGGGGGCCCGTACGCGGGTACACGCTTACCCGGGGGCTGGATTTGAGCTCATTAGTACCTACTGGGCGGGGAACATTCCCATAAAATTTCAGCTCCCTAGCTTTTCTGGTTCGCGAGTTAGCAGCTTGCCCGTAAAAAACGTTGGCGGGGTCTTACGTGGGTACCACGCGGGAAAGGCCGCCCATTTTGGGAATAGGGACCCGTACGTGCATGTAGATTAAGTCCCTAAAGTTTCAGCCCCATAGCTTTTGCCGGTCTCAAGATG